TATTTATCCATATTCTATTTTATTATATTCTCAGTTATTACAATGTAGACCCAATCGCATAATCAGATGATTCAGGATCTTCAGATATATCATCATCAAAATCATATTCATCCAATTCATCTATAACAGTTGAAATTCGAGTACATTGTCACAAATCATTAGCTGTAATTTTCTTTTCATGAAAAGCCATCTCTTTTTTAATATTTATTATCCAAAATAAATGCATCATTGACATTGATTCAATTCAATTAATATTTAAACAGGTACGACGATTACCATAAAACCATTTAAGAACTGAAAAATTCCTTTTGCATCCTACCTCACTAGATGTAATAGAAAATAACTTTATTGCAAGAGAAACTAAAGGCATTTCCTCTGACTTTTCATATGTTAACTACCAAGCAAATGGTATTTCAGGTTTTGAATCATAATCTAAATTAAATGGATGATTATTTTGTTTAAATTGTCTCAATTAAGTTAATAAATGATGAGACATATTTTCTCCATATTCATGTGCTTGCCAGTATTTAGCTGCAGCATGACATGCAACTTGAAAACTTTATCATTTAATCCATATCCTAAAATTATTTAAAATTAATTAGTAACTGAATTTATAATAAATTAAATTAGGATAAATTAAATTAATCATACCATGATATTCTGGATGTAAATAATATGAAAGTAAATATGCTTCATGATCAAATTCTTGATAACGGTGATTGTAGCTAGATACCTATAATTAAAGCTGCCGCCTGAAATTAGGGAATTTTACCATTTGCTGAAACCGAAATGGTAAAATTAATTTAGGAAAAATACTTAATTCTGAAATGCCAAAACTATTCTGAAATTCTGATTGGCTGTTATTAAATCACGTGACCAAAATTAAAATTTTTACCAAATTATAACTGTATTTTAATACCATAATTCTGGCTCTGTAGCGATCTTCCTGACACGTGTAGCTTTGATTTAAGTCTATGTTCACTTTGTGTAATGTATATACTATATAAGGAAATTATGCATCTTTATGCACTAATGTTACACAAGTGAACATAGGCTTAAAATGAAGCTACATGTGTCAGAAAGATCGCTACAACTACCCTAAGAACACCACCAAAAAATCTCTGGTAACGTGACTTTTAGCCCACATTACGGCGTTATGCACTAACACGTGAAAATAAACAGTGACGAATAAGGGTGTGACAAATATGTTTTTACTTACTCGAATAAACCTAAGTCCCTCAGATAAATATAAAAAGTGGAAACGCGGTAGGGTGTGACGGTTGTGATGAATAAAATGAAGTCACGTTACCAAAGGATTTTTGGTGGTGTTCTTGGAGTAGTTGATCGCTACGGAGCCAGAATTATGGAATTAGAATACAGATAAAATTTTAGCAAATTTATAAAGTCATGTGATTTTATAATAGACCAATCAGAAGTTTTGAACAATTTCAGGAGTTTCGGAAAGATTTCGGGATTTCGGAAGAATTTCAGGATTTCGGAATTAGTTTCGGAAATAAAATTCTGGCCGAAATTATTTCGGAATTAGGAAATAATTTTGGGCGGCAGCTTTACCTATAATAGCTAGTTTTAAAGTATTACTTGAAGGAAGGCAATTAATAGTGGCAGCTAATTTTAGCATTTGAATATAGCCATCTGCTAAGGCTGTTCTTGCTTCTAGTTTTAATATACAATCCTTAATTGGGTTTATAATATGAGAAATAGTTTGACTCATAAAAAAGAATTCATCATTTTTTAACAGATTTTTAACTTGAGTATTTGATATAATTTCTGGCTTTTTCCGCATAATCTATATAAATAGAAAACAGTTAATATAATATTTAAAAATTATTTATAAATAAATAAAATAAGTACCCAATCAAAAACTGGTCGTGCACGTAAAATAGAGTCAACCGAACCAAATAAAAATCCCCATCATGTTTTTATATAAGTATGTAACCCGTCTCCACTGATTTTCATATTTCTTAGCCCTTCCTCTAATTTCTTATTGGCTGCATGTAATCTATTAAAAAATTCAATCACCTTATTTAATTCACTAATGAATGCGCCCACACTTAAAATTTTAGTAAAATTAGATGCAATTAAATTAATTGCATGTGCAATACATCTCATATCTATTATATGTGGATAAGTATGTTCAATTATCTCCCTGGCTTGATGACAATTACTTCCTGAATCAGTTACAAAAGCAGCAAATGTTTCTAAACCAACTTTTTCAATTATAGAAGATACTTGATCAGCTAAAAAATCTCCAGTAGTAGAATTTTGTGAGAAATCCTTTAATTTTAAAAGAAATTCATGCTGATCTGGAGTTGTTATGATAAAATTATAAATTGAATTATATAGGTTGGACTTATCCATCCATCTATTGCTAAGTAAAATTACAAAAAAATAAGTTTGAAAGTATATAACATTATTAACAAAATATCAATTAAAAAGTAAATAAATAAAAATAAAAATAAATATTTTTAAATAATAAATATAAATAATTACTTACACAAAGTTAGATTTTCAGTTTGTTCAAAAATTCGGTTGATCTTTGTTTTGATCTTAACAGCTTCTTCATTTAGAATACGACCTGATAATGTTATTCAGGATGGAGGAATATAACCTGAATTTAATCTCATAAAAAGATCAATAACAAATGGATTTTTGATTACAGAGAATGGTATTCCAGCTGCAACTTATGCTTTCAGTACAGCCTGATCTAAAGAATTCTGTTCAGCAAAAGGAAGTGGCTCATCACTTTTAAAATGGTTTGTTATATTTATTTGTATGGAATCCATTTTTTTCCTCTTAGTTGTTGGAGTTCGTTGATAATTATTTTGTTTATCAATAATCTTCGTAATCTAATATTCTCTGATATTCTCTGGATACTTTGCGCATTCATATTCCAAATGAATTTCTAATTTAGTTGGTTCTCTCTTTGACCATTCTCTAGAACAATAGTAACACCTCGCCCTATAATATCCTGCTGATTCTAGTCTTCCACTTTAAAAATAATCCCATATCTCTGTTCTTAGTCACCCTCCTTGTGCTTTACAATTATTAGGCTTTACCTGTGATGCTTGTGGTCTGAAAAGATGTCTTTGATTTTCAAATGATGTGTCTGAATAACTATCATTTGTATTTTTATATGAATCATGTGAAAGTTCCGTGTCATTGATAAAATATTGTCCTGCGTTTCGTGAAGTACTTGCAGGTGTTTGCTTTTGTTGAAAATTCTGAACGGTAAAATTTTTAAAAGCAAGTGGACATTTTAAAAAAAAATTCTGGTTGTAATTAATGAAAAATTATTAAACTGATAACACAAAAAAATTGATAATATTGAAATAGGATAAAAAAATGTATCAAGTGCAGTTTAATATAACGCACTATTATGTCGAAAAGGAATTTTAAAAATAGAATTACTTTAAACTGAAGGTTCAATCAAAATTTTGGGTTAATCATTAATCTAATATCACGTGATGATCAACCAATTATCTATAAATATATTACAGAATTATGGATTTAGTAATAGGCGTAATAGTTTCGCCTATACATATAGCTGAAACCTCTATGAAGTTGAATAGGGTTTCAGACTTTCAGTAATTAATTATAATAAATTATTAAAAACTATCCAGAAATCCATCCGAAACTCCAAAGACTTTATATTATAGTTTCGGCTGGATGTAGAGATTAATTTTTATCATTTTTTAACTTAATTTTAATTTAAAGACGTGGCCAAAAATCACGTGAAAAGGTTTCAGCTACAAGCAAATATAGTTTCGCCATTTCGCCATTTCAATTATCGTCCATAATTTTGATATACAATTATTTAAACATTCGCCCATAATTTAGGAATTAATTTTGGGCGAATATGAAATTGTAAATGGGCGAAATGTTTAGTCTTGATGTAGGACCACGGTCTTTCAGTACACATACAATAAGACTGACGGTCTTTTTAAGGACTGCAGTCTTTTTAAGACCAATCAGTCTTTTTTCTTTTTTCTTTTTTCTGCAAATAAAAAATTTTCTATTATTTTACTTGGAACAGTCTTCCTTTATAAATGAACACTAATTGTATAAATTTATAGGAACCATTCCAGACGTATATTATAAGCAAATAACATGTATAAAGATGGACTTACTATACTTTATTAACGTTAATTTTCTTTTTTTCCTTGGGGACAGGGAGACAGTCTTTTCTACAAGTTTCAATATGCATGTAATAACTTTCATATAAAGACCGAAACCAGGTCAGTCTCATTATGCACTAACACGTGAAAATAAACAGTGACAAATAAGGGTGTGACGAATACGTTTTTACTTAACTAAGTCCCTCAGATACTTATGAAAAATGGAAACAAGGAAGGGTGTGACGGATGTGACAAAAAACAGTCACGTGCTTTTATATTGTGACATTTTTGTAGGGTATGCGGAAATCCCCTGTGCGATGTTAAGATTTTTTCTTTCTTTCACCTGAACTTATTAAAGCGTTGACAAAGAAATTATCGAGGTTCTTGGTCGAGACATTACACAATTAATGTATGAATAGTATAAATGAAATATATATTTTTGGTTATTATTGTGCATTTACAAGAAAACGATTTCAGAGCTTACAAACTCTTCCAGGACTTCCGAGAAATTGGTTAGTGGCTGAAAGCACAAGATAAATTTTAGCAGGCTTTTACTAAGGTTGATGTTGGTTTACTTTCCAATACTGCATATCTTATATTTAATATAACTGATGTCCGTTTCTGTTTTAATGAAACTGGATTAGAGTTAATGATAGAATAATTTATACAGGTAATGAAAAACATGTGTTGTCACGGGCATTAGTATAGAAACGCCATCTCACTTTGTAAAACAAACCCATGTATCACCGAATCATTTTTCTATATCAATAAAGTCAAAATTTAACAATAATTCTGGTTGTGACATTTTATTCTGCATTCCCACATTTTATGTTCGAAGAATATGTTATATAACTGACCGAATTTTTTTTTTTTTTGTTGTTCTGCTTGTCTTGTGAAGTTTATGATTGAGAAAGGCGATTATTCCATCTTGTATAAAAAGAAAAATAATATCAATCATGCATCCGTTGATTCGTTGAAAGAACTGAATCCCAAGCTCTTAGCTGAAATTGCTGAACTTAGGGAGCAAAATGCAAAGCTAAGAGCCAAACTTAAGAGCATAACCAAGAAAAAGAGCAGATACTGCTGCTGAGAATTCTGAGCTCAAGATTGAGGCATGATATTGATGAAATTAAACAAAAAACCTAGTGCGAAGAGGCAAAAGGGTTATCAGGCAGAGGGAGCGAAAGAAAAACTTCAGCGTGAGATAACGCATTTGTAACAAAGGTCCAGGAGGCATCTCCAATTTTCCAAAATGCCACTTCTATTACTTGCTAGCCAAGACACGAATTTTACCTCGCATGAACAGGGAGACAATTCATGATTCGAGAAATATCTATTTAATGATATATCCAGGATCGGATCGTGACTTCACATTTGACTGATCTCAGTTCAGAAAAAGTCAGATGTCTTGCAAAATATAGTCAACTTACAGCATATGAAAAAGCATGTAATGCGGAAGAAGAATAGATAAAGGCCAATCAAGTGAAGATTTTATGCTGGTGTAATTTTATTATAGCATTTGATAAAAGCATTAATGAATCATGAGTAAAGATAAGGTAGGCACGAAAAGCCAAAGGTCTATTTATGATTTTATTATTGCGCAGAATTTTACAAGTTATTTGAAGAATCATACAGTGAGAACTCCATTTCAAAGTTTACTAAAGAAATCCAAAGGATTATAGATAGTTCACTGAAACCTAACCTGGATTTACAGATAACCAGGACAATTCTATCATCATCTTCTGGTCATAAGTTAACTCATATTTAACGTAAAAATTTTTAATAATTGCAATCTTTCTAATCTTTTTGAAAAGTTTTCAATAATTATATATTGCATTTGGCTATAAATCTGGCCGAAATTTTATATAAAATTTCAAATTTAAATTTCAATTCAAGGATTTATTGATATTCTATAGCACAAATTTATATCTATGATTTATGTTCTTTTCCCTGATCTGAATTCTGAATATATAGTTCTACTTCAAGTTCCTCAAAGTGTTTCTAATAATATAAATATTGATTAATTTATTTAACCAATAAATATTACGAAATCGACAATTTATACCTAAAGTGTAATTAAGATGATTTGTCCTGTTTTTTTAAGGGAAAGCGAAAGGGTAGTCGTGGTATAAAATTCGATGCAATGAGGGAGTGCGTGGTGATAAATGGATTAGAAATTTCCTCACCGGGCGGTTCTGCAGTTTGCGCGACCGAACATTATCGACAAAATCTTTTCTAAGTTTTGAATTCGGTTTGATAAGTGTTGAATTCGTACGTGATGTCCGGACGGTTAGACATTTTGAAATCCAACCCGTTCTTTGGTAGGTTTGGGTAGGTTGAAGATTTTGGTTTTGTTGCTCAGGTTTTCCAGTAAGTTTAGGAATTCAGAGATTTTGTTGCATCTATTTTTTGGTAGACTCATGATCCTGAGCTTCTTCGTTAAGCACGTCCCAAATCTGATAAAGTAAAAAAGTGGTCGAATTACATAATGTGCATAATGTATAACATAAGGTCAAAAGGTCAAAAGTGGAAATACCATGAAAAAACCTACCTCAATGAGGTAATTAACTTTATTTCTCTTTAAATTTAATGGAACCTTTTGGATCATCAAATTGTTTTCCTTTCATACCATTAAAAAAACAAATAGCATCTTTATGTGTATCAAAAGTGAATGTACGCGTAACTAATATTCATCAAATTTATTTATTAATAATTGATTAGATTTATCAAAATTGAATTTTTTTATTAAATATAATAACCTTTTTTTGCATGCGCAAACGGAAATGAGGAAATAGTTTTAATCCGGTCTTATATCTCGATAAAGTTAAGAGTCTGGATGGCCGGCCTTGTCACAGCAAGAGTATCTGTAGAAAACAAAAGAATGCTTCTAAAGAAGCGAAGGGACAAAGGAAGCGAAAGGAGAGTAGCTTTCACGGAAGAGCTTCCACAAAGGGAAGCAAAGAGAGAGTAACTTCAACTTTTGAATGGAACTGATTTATACTTTTGCATGAGACGCAAACTTTACATACACTTTTCATTGATTATAATAAATACTTGTGCATCGGACACAGACTTTTCTATATACAGTACTTTGATAAACAACAATCAAAAGTTTGGACATTATTCTTTTTGGACATTGTTCTTTTTTATTCTTCAGCTTTTTCTCCACGTCTACCCTATCCTTTAATATCCCAATGACTTATACTCATTTTTGCGTAATTTGGCTTCGTTTTCTTCTTTAACAATGGACTTAGTAAGATTGATATAGTATTTGGTTCACTTGTACATGAAATACCTTCCTAGGTATAAAGGAGAAAGTACCACTCCGTGGTTGTGATAATGATTCCATAAAAATAGTCATATTCCTTCCAATAACGTCATCAGCCTTTCGTTTCCTCTATTGGTTTGGTAAGTACTTTCGCATTGTATGACATTCTACAGGGTGGAAATAAAAGCTCGTTATTAAGAGCTCAAGCCGAGATAAACTACACCTATACCGTGAGCGAAGCCAACCGATCTGATGCTGTTTCCCCTCTGTAATAGATCGAAAAAAGTTCAGGAATCTTCAACCTCTCGCACAGATTCTCTGTGAGTCCTTAATTTCCGAAAATTGAGTGATATCAGAAGTCAACCCCGGATAAGCCTTCTAATACGAAAGTGCCATCTCCCTTAACCCATTTCTAAGATTTTTTCGCAGTGGACGCATCCGTAACTTCATTAACTCGCCTCTTACTGCTGGTATTGGGTTGGACTTGAACTTCTGTATCATCCTCATCCACATCCTTATTAATATCCATTTCTTGATCCGTTACAGTACCTCCAACGTTTTCTCTTCCTGCGAAGAAGATTCTTCCGGAATTGTTTCCAAAGCATCAGTTGGCATATAGGGTACGACTTTCGTAGATTATTGATGCAATCACAATACGCTTGCAGGGCGCAATCTCTCTCAGTACACTGAATTGTTCTGAGTTCGACATTTTGAATTTACCTGCTTTCTGTCTCGAAAAAATTAACTTGTTTTTATAGCACTTGTGAATTCCGCAAGAGAAAGCGATTCACTGGGTCAAAATTTTATACGCACTGCATTTCGTCATTTCACTATTGCCTCTTATAAATCGCGGCGATTAGTATACACATTCCTCAAAACTCAATTTTCGTCAAGTCACAAATCTTTCTTCCTCAAAAAAATTAAATGTGGAGTATCTCAGTCAGAAAGGTGGTACATGTCATTACGTCGCACAGCATGATTTCAGGTGACATGATCACTCCTCTACCGTTATACTTGCAATAAATAATATTTTATATTCCTACGAAGAACAAAAAATTTAGCGTTCATGACTTCGTGGCTCATACAATTTCCCTATACAATGCATACAGATAATAAGCTTTTTACTAATTCGTTTTGCAACTGCTTCTCTCCCAGCTTCATGACCCTTTCTCTAAGCTCAACTCAAGCTTGGTGGTATATTGCCTCAATAATTCAAGCTTAGATGATATGATTTATAAAGATTTTTTATACACGAAGAGAATTATTCAATATTAGGAGATAAATGTAAAGATTTTGCTTTTATTAATTTTATTAATACAGAGATAACAATAAATGCAAATTGCTTTTTTCTATGCTAATTATACATGATTATTATTTTGAAATTGTTGCTTTTTTACTGCTAGCTTCACCCTTTTATTTAATAACCCAACAATAACTCTCCATCACCCGCTTCACTACCGCAGAATAAATCCAAATTCTCGAAATGCGTTCTTTACAGCTTAATTTTCAAAACGTATTGAAAAATACGTTTATCAATCCATTTTGGTATTCTCTGAGCATCATCATCATCGGAGTTAACAAATTTCTGCAATTTATAAACTTCATATAAATGTTCTGGTACGACAAAATAAAAATAAACTAAATGTTGTGCTGAGTCGCCACCAAATTTTTTATAAAGAAGTTTTAAACCGCTCGTCTTAATTGGATGATTTTCTGCCAGGGTCATCTGAAAGACCTTATTAGGAGCAATTATTGAATCTATTGACGGAAAATTCTTTTCCGTTGGTTGATAATACATCTTATTCTCAATTACATCAATGTTATTTTTAGAAAAATACAATTGTTCATCTTGTGTATGTAAATCGACTACTGCATCTGGATCAGAAGAAACTTCTCCAGAGTACTTATCTAAAGGACGAATATCAAATTTTCCTCCATTTCGAAGTATCCTATGAGCTAGATACTCAAATGAAGTACCCAAGAGTGTATTACCTGTGTCCGCTTTAGTTTTTTCAAGAAGTCTTTGTCTTATACGTGATTCAAGTTTTTGAGTAACCAATTTCATTACCTTATTAGACGCAAATTTTAAAACTGTCTCTGTATAAGCAATTTCACCATATTTATCCAGCTGAACTTGCGAAGCAGAAGAGCCACTTTTAACATTGACATCCCCGTCATTGGAATCACTATTGTCATTGTTGTCAACATCATCGTCATCATCGTCATCATTGCTAACGTCATCTTCAGCCGGAAGGTTCACATGGATATGAACAAGCATGTGACTAACGTTATCATCTCCTATGCTTTCACCAATATAATCAAAAATATCCATTTTGCTTCTTTTAATTGCACTATTAAGCTTGTCTTGATGAGTCTTATAATTGGCCCTTTCTAATACAAATCTGGGAATTCCTCCCCACTTTCTAAAACAGTCCCTAGCTTTTTTATTGCTTACTTTTTTTTCATAGAGTTCTTTCCTGCACCGAGCGATCTCTTCCCATTTCCATGTCGGCATATATCTTATTGTAACTACCCCCTCATACTTATCAAAGTTCTTATAGTGATTCTTTTTGGGCGAACAGATTAGAATTGTTTTGGCTTTAACATCTTTTGGTTCTTTGCCGTCTACAATATACCAAACGGCCGGTTTTCTCAGGTATACATCTATACCATCACTGTTGCTAACGTAAGCATTATTTCCTTCAAAGATGATCGGCTTGGTTTCATGATGGTTATCATATACAATAGTTACATCTTTTTGTGCAAGTAGATAAAGTAAATAATATCCGAAATAGGTTTTTCCAATACCCGGATTTCCGGTTATGCGCAGTTTGTCTATTGTATCATCAAAGACGATCTTTTGCAGATCATGATAACATTTACGGATTAATAAAATAGATACATATCCTTTTCCCAAAAAGTGGGTATTTTTGGATAATTTAAGAGTTTCATTTTCACAAGTTGCATTTTTTAGAGCTCGCCAAAATTTAATCAGATTTTTATCATTATCTAATTTTATACGTTTGCTATCAGGCTCTGTGTAAATAGAATAAATAAAAATGAGACACAAGGAACGAAATAAAAAGTTTGCATTGATTAAATTTATTACGACTCGCTTACCATCAACGGGTTTCCCTACGATAACATGAATGTGTTTTTTGGGCAGGTTTGACGATAAGAAGCAGGAAAGCAGGAAAGAAAAGCACAAGAATAAGTAAGTATTCGGTATTACTGGCGAATATGACAGAAGACGAGCACAAAAATAACGAAGTTAGATTATGTAAAACATACCAGCTAATAACTTCCTCAGATATTTAACCTTAAAGCTATCAGTGCCGTACTTGAGGCTTTCTTCAATATCAGGTATCTTGTTGGGATTGTTTGTGACATAAGCCATTAATTCAGCAAATTCATCCTCTGTGATTCCAGATTCCACGAGGAAGAGGCGGTTAAATTCTCGACGAACATTAGTTGAAGCAGAGGTAGAAGTCGATGTCGAAAACATACTATTTGTGATTTTTTGTGCAATAATTGGTTTCACAACTTGTACGAAAGAAAAAGAAAGGAAATTTTAGAACTGATTTGCACAGATTGATCTGACTCAATGACTAAATACAGATATCTGTCACACAAGATCACAAAAATCATGCCTTACAATACTTCATCATATGGGCTGATCATGCTCATCTCACTAAATAAGTTTATGTGATGTTGACGAGTTGTACCACCCAAGATCGTGAGTTGTACCACTGGTGTATTACCTAAAAATGTGTGATAAAAAAAACTCCTACCAAAAACGCATGAAAAAAAAGAAATCTAATAACCGCAAGTTCAGATCAGTTTTAGATCAGTTTCATTTTGAAATTAACAAAATCAAGAAATATTATAAAAAGTAGTCTTGTACAAATCTTTATAAATAGTTGCACTTAAAACAAAGTTTAGTCACATTTTATAAAAGAATTGCACTATGGTGAGTTAGCAATAGTATAATTATTGTTAGATTTTTACTAAATGTCTTATAATTTATATAAGTCGCCAGATCAGGTTTAGCAATTGCAATTCAGCATCAGTTCAAGTTGTAACATCAATAAAACCTGAATGACCTGTTGACCTGAAACTATGATTTTATATAATAAGTGAGTTATGGTATTATAATTCACTTTTTATATTGATTTTATATAATAAAAGTGAGTTGTGATATTGGAATTCACTATTTTATACTGATTTTATATAATAAAAGTGAGTTGCGATATTGGAATGCACTTTTTTATATCGATTTTATATATAAAAAGTGAATTGCAGTATCAGAATTCACTTTTTTATATCAATTTTATATATAAAAAGTGAATTGCAGTATCAGAATTCACTTTTTTAATATTGATTTTATATTTAAAAAGTTAGTTGCAGTATTGCGATTCACCTTTTTATATGATTTTAATATAAAAACTGAATCGCAATATTTTAAAAAAATGGTTTGCACCATTTTTTTTTTGATATTTTAATAAAAATCCTGAAAATTTTCAGGTTTCAGTTCAGATCAGATCAAACAGATAATTTGATATAACCTGACCTGACCTGACCTAAAAAAAACTTCAGGTCAGGTTTATCAATTAACCTGACCTGACCTGACCCATTCAGAACTTTATTTTTATCCAACCATCTAATAACAATTGTATATATTTACGTATACTTAAATGGCATAAATAATTATAGGTAAAAATATTTTTATTCGTTTTTGCTAATTTTGTTATTGAACATTGTTGATTTATTTCTTTTAATTGTATTTCTAGATCTTTTGTGGCTAAGGACATTAGTCCTACCGGTTTTACTCAGTTCTAGACTGATCAGTCCTGGGATTTGTAAGAACAGACCGTGGTCTTGCATTTTTTTGTAGTGCAGTAGGACTAGTCCTGAGGACCGACCAGTCCTCATACTGGTCTTCATATAATAAATGATTTTTATATTAAATAAATCTATTAATCTGATTAAGGTCTTTATAAAATAATATGAAGACTGATCAATTCCAAACTAATTAATAATGACAATTACTTCTTCCTACTTGTAGAGTTGTCTGTCAATACACTACCATTCAAATCATCTTAATGAGACGCGTCAAATGGTGGCTAAATTATATTTCAGAATTGATAGATAGCCAGTAATTATTGAATTTATTATTAAATAGTTTTGCTGACGTAATATTTTTTCTATTAAATCTAAAACTATGATTTTAATATCATTTAATGCATCTCATTGAAATGATTCAAATAGTAGTAGTTAGTAATTACATCTTTTTATAATCACTGGATGACAAGATATTGTGTTTTAAAGTTTTTTGTCTCAAAACTTTAAATTTTCAAAATTATAGTTTCGAAGGACTTTGGAAAAAAACTAAAATGCAATATCATGATTATAAAAAAAATATTTTTGCATAAATATAACTAGAATTAAACTGAAAATGATTTTCTAATAAAGTTTAGAGAAAAAATTTTTTTATTTGTAAAAAAAAAGAAAAAAACTGATTGGTCTTAAAAAGACTGCGGTCCTTAAAAAAACTGATGATCTTATTATATGTGATAGAGGTAGGCTCTGGATCTGGTCAATCCAGTTATTCTAGGATCAATCTGTCAAATAGACAGATTCGGATTGATCAGATGAATATTGATTAGATGAATCTGTTAAATACTAGACCGGATAGATGACCGGATATCTGATCAGTCCTATAAGGGATCGACAAAAAAAATTCTTTTTAGGAAATTTTATATTACACGACCAGAAATTAAATTTAGAAAAACTGGTTTTTTGTGGAACGGGTATCACAAAAATGGAAATGATCGATATACCTATGCGTCACATGATATCAATTAAATACCTAATCATAAATTCCGGCTGAAATTAAATGATTGGTGAAAATTTCCTTTTTAGGATTCTTGTGAAACCCAAAATTTCATTTTTTGCCGAGAAACAAAATTGCCTTTTTTGGATTTGTGTAACGTTACTCATGCCCTAAAAAGGATAATTCCATGCCGATTACTTAATTTCGGCTGGAATTATAATCAATCCGATCAATCTGCGGATAATCTGATGATCTGATTTTTTTAATCCGGATTGATCTGTCACATGATCATCCGGATGATGGATTGACCAGATTCATTCGGAGCTAGGGATGGCAACGGTCATGGTTATTAACCGGTCATGACCGGTTATGATCGTGACCGATATCGGTCAGTCAAAGGCCTCTGACCGACCATTTAACCGACCAGTTTGACTGACCATTTAACTGACCGTTTAACCGATTATTTAGCCAAATAACACCTTTTTTACGAACTTAATCAATAAAAAAAGTTAAATAACATTTTTTTGATTAAATTACACTTTTTAACATTTTTTTCTTGATTAAAATTCGTTAAAAAGAAAACAGTGATCGGTTAAACGGTCAGTTAAATAGTCGGTTAAATGGTCGGTTAAACGGTCAGAAAAATGGTCAGCCAAAACGGTCAGTCAGTCAAAGGCCCTTAACCGGTTATGACCAACCGATAACTGACCATGATCGACCGTTGCCATTCTTATCCAGAGCACACATCTAATATGTGATATAGGACTGAAAGACCGCAGTCCTACACTAAGACAGACCAGTCCATTTTTTTATAGTGTAGGACCATAGAATCACAGTCTTTTAGGACCGATGACCATCTTTACTTGTGGCCTCTTTAGTAATTAAAGAAGGATTTTGTGTTTCAAAAAATAAAGGTGGGAATGGAAATGAAAATTGCGGTTGCAAGGATTGTAATTTTGTATTTCTAAATAATGTATCAAGCATCCTCATTTCCTTTGCATTATGTGTTAATTCTTCTTTTTTTTTATTTTTCCAAGTTGTAGTTTTTGAAGTTCCATTATAAGCTATTCTAATACTCATAGCATTTTCATGCCAACAAAGAATTTCAGTAATAAGCTTCTTTTCTACTTTTTGAAACTCTTTCAAATTTTCTTCTGCCCAATCATTAATAATCTCATCTTTTATAACTTCTATCTAATTTCTGTTAATTTTACTTTCTGTCCTTTTTTCAACAGCCTTTAACTCAGTTTCTGCTTGATCTTTTGATATGTAACATCCTTTTTTCCTAGGTAACTTGCTAATCTGTAATTGCCTTTTTATTTTACGTGACATTTTTAATAAACAATCAGTGGCTGTTTAAATAAAAATTTCTCATTTACATGTAAAAATTTAAAGATTTTCTTATGATTATTTCTTTTTCTTGTGATGATAGTTCAGGCTGGCACTAAATTATCATAATTTCAGCTTAAATTATGAAAAATTTTAGCCAATAAAATTGTATTCATGTGATGTGATTGTTTCAATTTTAGGCCGATAATATGAAAATTGTCTGACTTTAAATGCTTATAACTTTTTATATAGACATTTTTTTGAAAATTTGACCAGTAATTTAATAGTATTCATTATAAAGAATAAAGTTATCAGTTTATTTTTTCTAAAATCATATTTTTATAAAACTTTAAAAACTTTTGAAGTACTACAATTTTATTGTCTATTATAGACTTCTGGCATCATAATAACAATTAACATATCAGGATTAAACATAATACTTAAGCAAAAACAAGTTTTAAATTTTATGAAAATTAATAAGATTAATTGTTTAATAATTACAAAAACAAAACTTCAAACTGCTAGTGTGAAAATGATTTATAAAAATAATAAGAATTTAACAACATGGTGGTGGTCATGTAATGATGATCATCATTTTGCAACTGGAGTGGGAATCATTATGGATAATGAATACACAAAATACATTATTAAAAAAAATATAATAGATGGACGTGCATTAAAACTCATGTTACTTTAAAAAGGAAAAATTCATTTCACAATTGTCGTCATTTATAATTTTGCGAATAATATTTATAAAGATGAAATATTAGAGTTTTATAAAAAATTAGATGAAATTATTTTATATGAGAAAAAGTTATAAGCTAAATTAGTATGTATAGGAGATTTAATGCAAGCTACAACACTATGAAGTTATATGAATGAGTGAACAAAAAATTTCTTGGAAAGATTGTATCTTTCAAGCTTTAAAAAAGAATATTATGTTAGATATTAGTTTAATTTATCATGACAAACTGTTAAACACATGGAATAGATCAGATAAAAAATCACGTATTGATTATATATGGATAACAGAAGATTTAGTACCAGACACTATATACACATCAACAAATAAATTAAGTACACATATTCGAGACAGATCATTTAACAGTAACAGTGTATTTTCATATTAATGATTTATTTCATGCAAAACAAATTTCGTTAAAAAAAAAGACATAACAAAAATAATATGCAAGTTGATTATAAAAAGTAGATAATCAAGTATAGAAAAAATTCATGGATAATATAACAAAGCTGCTTAAAAAAGAAAAGGATATAATGGATAATGTAGACATCTTGGTCAAAAGAGTTTGGAATGTAGTTAGGGACACATTAAAAAAAGCTAGTGATCAACTACCGAAGAAGAAGGGTAACTCAGGACCCCAGACATATTATCTAAAACAGGTCATAAGTTACACTTTTAGTTCGTTCGTAAAAGGCATGCCCTTGAATTTTATTAATTTTTGCCATAAAGTTACTTTAAAGAATACCAGGTATTCAAGAAAGAACCACAACAAAGTGCAGAACTAACTAATACAAGAACAAATAATCTTCCAAAAATTACAAATAAAGAAAAAGCTAGATTATTTAATCCTGCTCTCTCTATATAAATAATTATGGCTACTCCCCTGAGTTATATCTCAAACAAGGTAAAGTTGACTATGCTATTAAATCCACTAGAATAACACCCATGATTAACATAGTTATCATACAATCATCATATACAGCTATACAAAATATGTTGTACAGAAAAAAGAAAAATACATTTGTAATACGAGATTTTCTTTTAAATGATTATTTTACTTAAATAATAATAAATAAGAAAAATTCGGTTTTTATATTTAAAAATCGGTTATATTGTATAATTTGTATTAGTACCGTTGATAGGACTCCCGTGATCAATTCTTGAACAATTTTAGCCAATCAAATTCAAATGAGATATAGACTATTTGCATGTGATCATATTAAAGAAATATTTACTACATTTTTTACATTTTTTACATTTTTTGCGATTTAATGATGTATTTTTACAAGATTAATTTTTTACATTTAAAAATGTCAAGAAGTGGACCAATAATAAGTTATAGACCTCCCCGTCCTTTTGCCAATCCACCTCCATTAAGAAGGAATATTTCATTCTTTTCCTATGATGTTCACGAATATTCCAGTGTTCTGGAGGAAATGGTGATATGTGAAACAAAAAATACGAATCATACTAATTGACTATACATGAAATCAAATTAAATTCAGACCGCAGCCTATTGTGTAGCCTGTTTTTGTTAAATTACATAAGATTTACATATAAAATTTAAATACAATAATACTATTTAAAAAAGGGAACTTTGAATTATTGGTTAGACTAAATATCCAATATTCAATAGCATCAATACAACTTAATCACGATAATCTAAGTACGACAATTACAAACAAGGACCAATTGCATATTAAAAATTTTGTAATTTATAACTACTATTTTTATTATTTTTATAATAAAAAAGAATTATATATCAAAGTGGAATTGGCGAAGTTGACAAATATTAATTTATTTGATTTTTTTATATTTTGCAAGTTGACCGCGCCACCGCGGTAACGAGATAAATAACATATTTGATTGGTTGAATATCACGTGACTGATAGATTTTCAAAATATATTAGTGTACTTAAACGTCGTGATGGAAAGAACCGAAATTTTACAGGTCCAAGTTTAAAATCAATAAGGTTAAGGCTAATGCGTAACAATTATTACTTATTGTATAAATTAGGCGAAAAATCAATTTTTAAATGAATCATAAACTTGTCGCAAAATTGATTTTTTTTTTTTTTACCATTATTATTAAGAAATTACGTAATTCATCAGTAAAAGATTAATTAAAAGAAATTTTAATGTAATAAAAAGAAATTAGAATCTTATTACTAGTATAAATCTTATCAAGTACTAACTAAAGTAATTAAACAAACGGCATACTCCGATTACTCTCCGATCACGTGATATGTTCAATATTTCCATAAAAAATTACTATCATCATACGATATCATATTTTAAGTAAACAAGAGGAATCTTGGCAAATTTTGTTCATTTTAAAAAAATAACATCTTGCATATTAAAAACATTACATGAAAAAAAGCCCCACACCCTATTTCATATATCGAATCGATTTTGATTATAAAACAATAAATAAATAAAACTTTATGTTACCTAATCAAGAAATAAAAAAAAAAGTTTACTAGATGTTTAAATAAAGTAAGAAAGATAAACATTTAAGAAATTATGTGATACTTTCAATGATATTAAAATAAATTTAATATATTTATATGCATTATTTCTATCTATTATCAATCGGAAAATGTTACCGAACGAAAATCAGAAAGTAATTAATTATTCCTCATTGATTTATTAGTAAAGATGAAATTTTTTTAGTAAAATTTAATAGAATTTTCAATGGTATTTAATGGGAGTTTCATTGAAATTACCTTTATTTGGACTTGAACTTAAAGAATAAAGAAAAGGAACAATTGACCATCTTTTTAACTTTATTCATTATTCGAAAAAGGGAAATTTTTTGTGCCATATGGTAATGTCAAAACCCATTATATCAATATAGTTTAGGTTAATTTTTCGTGTGATACGAGTGATGTAACACGTGTAATACGCGTAATACCGTATAATACCGTGTAATACTTACTAGTAAGTCTGTAATACGGAAAAGTTGGAATCTTCATTAACTCCATTAAACTCCATTAACTCCATTAGTGCGTATTGCCACAATAGCCACAATCAGCCACAACAGTCACGTTTTTATTTATTTAATTTATTTATAGTATTTTTTGTCATCATAATACATAAAATAAAGTCATTATCTTAATTTATACAATTTATACAGTCAATATTATTTTTTCATTGTTATATTTTTAGGGGTTTTTCAAGCAATTCTATTAATAATAATCAATACTTTCGGTGATTTTTTTAAATGATTTCAATGATTTGAAAATGTGGTTAATCGGTTCACAAATTTCACAAAATTTTCAACAAATTATAAGAATTATCATTAGTAATAAACTGGTAAAAACTGGAATTTTTACAAGTTTTTTTTTTTTATCATCATCAATAACAATGGGGAAAAAAGGTTTTATTTCATATATATTTACATAATAAGAAAACAATGAGACAACAATCAAATCTTTCTTTCGTAGATTATATCCATTTTATTCAATCAAATAATTAAATAAATTGTTGAAGTTTTTCTTCTTCTTCCCATATTTTTAACTTTCCCTTTCCTTTCTTTTTCACTTTCTTTTTTTTTCACTCCTTTTTTCTTAATTTTCACTTGTTTCACTTGTTAACTATATTTTAAAGTTAACTTAAACTTATTTATATATTATTATTAAATTTTTTTTTTTTTTTTCAAACTAAAAAACGCCTTACATAACTAAACATTCACATGTTGAATACTTTTTCATTTTTTTGTAAAGAAAAAGAAAAATTATATATATATATATAAAATATATGTATAATACGTAATATCAAATATTCTATATTCTATACATATATATATATATACAAGTTACATATTTTTTCGGTAAGACCAATTTTGTTATAACAAAAAAAAAAAAAATAACTCCCAACCAATCAACTTTAAATTACCTTTCGGCCGTTGTAAATTGCGCCTAATTTGGGTTGATTAGTTGATTTTGTTATATATATATAACACGTCAAGAAATCTTTCGGTAAACAAAGAGATTCTTATTTTTCAAAAAAATAATTTAAAAACCAAATTTTTCAAACTGCTTTTTTTTAAAAAAAAAACTTTACAGTCCTTGCATTCTTTTTTTCTTATATATATTTTTTCTTTTTTTAAAAAAAAAAACGAAACCCATTCAAGTTACACACGCTTATAACCACATATTATTACTCTTGAAAAAAAAAAAAATGGGTAATATCATTAGTGAAAATTCTCTAAAATCATTATCAAAATCACCGAAATCGAAATTAAATTTAGGCAATAAAAGACGAATAAAAAGAATACAAAGACGTTCTTCAATATCAACAGCAATGACTTCAACGACAACACGTTCGTCAGAATCAACATATCGTTATATTGACGGTAGAAGATTTAATGAAAACGCAAAGTATGCATTACCAAATGATGATGCTGAAGTTGATAGATTACAATTACAACATTATTTACAAAGATATGTTTGGCAAGGAAATTTTTGCGCTCCTGTACATAGAAGTTTGACAAAACCTGGTGCTAGAGTTTTGGATGTTGGATGTGGTCCTGGAACTTGGATATTAGAGATGGCATTTGATTATCCAGATGCTCATTTTACTGGTATTGATATATCTCCAATGTACCCTAAAGAAATTAAACCTTCTAATGTGAATTTTGAAGAAGCCGATTTAACTGATGGACTTCCTTTCGCTGATGATACCTTTGATTTTGTTGTAATGAGAAATATGGTGAATGCTTTGAGTGTTGATGATTGGGTATTTTCTTTAAAAGAATTAGAAAGAGTTTGTAAACCAGGAGGATTTGTTGAATGTTTAGAATTTCAAATTCCAGCAGTTCATCTCGGAAAAGTCTCAAAACGAGTGACAGAAGCATGTAAGTATTTTTTATAAAAAATTTTTTATACAGTACATATGTTTTAATTATAAATTCCTAATAAAATTTTTTAAAAAATTTAATAGATGTTCAAATAATGCGTACAAAAAATATTGATATAACTATAGCACCCCGACTGGAAGAAATGTTTGCAACATGTACAACTTTAACAAACATTGAACATCAAGTTAGAATTGCACCTGTTGGTAAATGGGGAGATAAAGCTGGTAGAATTATGGCCGAAGATTTACTTTTAATAACAAAAGCAATGGGTCCAGTTCTTACACCATTATGGGGTATTGGAGCAAGGCAATATGAAGAATTTACAAATGAATCAGCAAAAGAATTTGAAAATGGAAAAACTTATTGTAATCTTCATGTTATTTATGCACAAAAATATGAACCATATAGATATATTTAATTAAGATTTTTTTTTAGAAAAAAAGAATGTTCCTTTCTTTCTAAAAAAATATATATATATGTGTATGCATGTATATATATATATTTTTTTTTTTCAAAGGATCATTTAAAAATTATTTATATATGTAAATTATTAATATTTTATAATGAAATAGTGACATTATAGACAATTATTATCTCACTATCTCGCTTTGTAATATTTTCAAAACAATATAATTTATTTTATTTTATTTTTTTATTTTATTTTTAGTTTAGATTTTATTTTTTACATTATTTAACAGTTAATTTTTTCAAATTAAAAAAAAAAAGAAAAAAAAAAGAAAAATAAAATAAAATTTTTTCGATATTAGAAAAAAAAATTTCACCGGTTTCTGAGCGAGTTCTTTATTCCAGGGAACTTTATAATATAATTGTGGGAACTCTAAATGATAATTGTTCAGATAAGTGGTACTTACTACTCCGAGACATCCCAATGTCATCTAATATGGAAAAAAAAATCAGTATTGGTAGCATTAACTTTTATTGGTTACCACAATATTTCCTACAATAACTTATTTGGGATATCATTCCGATACCCCATTAAATAAAAGAATTTTTAACCATTAAATAACGAATAAAAAATGATAAATGTAATTAAAGTAATTTAAAGTTCAAAAACTTCCTTAGTAAAACTCATTTAACTCATTTGATGGACAAATTTGCCCACAATTCATGATTTACCGTTTAAGGATGATAGGAATGAATAAAAAAGAAATTTTTTTGGCGAAATTTTTGCCGAAAGGCCGAAAATCTTTGAATGGTAAAGATTACCAAGGTTTTGCCGAAAACGCCAAAAATCAAAAAATTTTACCCCCCAAAAAATATAGTTTGAAACGCCGAAAATTCGAATGCCGCAAAATTACTAAAGTAGTATTGCCAAAAACTAATATTAAAAAAATCATATTAAAAATTCCGCCAAATTTTAACGCAAGATTTAGAAGGGAATCTTAAATATTGTATCCTTATAATAGATTAAATGATTTTCTCGTTAAAGATTAGAGAAATTAGAAAAATTGGTAAAAATTGGAAAAATTGGAAAAATTGGAAAAATTAGAAAGATTATAAAGTTGGAAAAATTATAAAAATTATAAAGATTATAAAGATTAAAAATTATAAATATTATAAGATTATAAAAATTATATCAGATATAAATTATATCAAATATTGTTTAAAAAAATTATTAAACAATATTGAACCTGCTTGAATGGTTTGTAAAACGTTCAAGATCAATTAGTAAATTTTAACTAAAAATTTTGTTATACTACTATTACTTAATTAAAGGTTCTCAGAAGTATAAAGAGATTTATTAAATTAATTGATTTATAATAAGATGTAAGTATACCGATAAATCGTTCTGTATAAAAGTACATGATAACGGATAACCCTCCCCTGCATGATAACCATGATAACCCACCCCCTAGAATATAATTGCCCCTTGTATTGGGTAGTATAGCTCATATAGAAGTACCCCTGAAATTTTGCGTACTGTATCTTGGTATAAGTACTTACTATACAGAACAAACTTTTACGGTAATAATAAAGAGTATGCTAATAATGATAAAATATATCTAAATATATACTGAATATGCTAATTAATTATATGTAAATACAAAATATAATAATAAATACAAAATAATAAATATAAAATAATAAATTCAAAATAATAAATACAAAATACAAAATAATAAATATAAAATAATAAATTCAAAATAATAAATACGAAATGATAAATTCAAAATAATAAATACAAAATAATAAATTCAAAATAATAAATACAATGAATTGTAATCTAATATATATACTGTATCTATATGTCTATATTAATTATATACCAATATTTATAAAATCTATCATACATGATCAATGGTACAGGGTAAAGCAATGATCAGATGCCAAAATTTACGAAAAAAAAGTAATTTGACTGAAATTGTTTGTTTATTTCACCTCCTTATTTGATAAATGCTAATTAAAGTCCACATGAGTTACAAAGTTACAAAGATAGATCGAAAAGGACAGAACACCGACGATACCGATTATCGATGATACCACGAAAGTATATGCCGATTACGAATAAGCTCCTATACCGATTGCTGATAATACCACGAAGTATTCTCCTATACCGATTACCGATGATACCACGAACCTCCTTAATGAGCGTCTATCAAACAATAATTCGGCAAAATAATAAGACTTGGTTGATGTTGGCGACATTTCTCACTATTTTGTGTAATCTTTAAAAAATGAAGGAAAGAGAGAAGGATTTTTTGGTAAGCAAAAAAAAATTCATAAAAAAAAAAAATATATCTTTTATTATTGTTCCCATAAAAATAAGAAAAAAAATAAATTATAAATCATATTATATATATATATATAAATATTTTTGTTTATATAAAAATGTCTCTTTTTTTTTTGTTCTCCTATAATAAGTCTTAGATTAAATAAATTATTTTGTTTTTGTTTTTGTTTTTGTTTTTTTTTTTAGTGCATTTGCAGTTTTATTAAAGTAAAAAATAA